GCATCGTTAATTTTGACTTGGATTTTTCTTTGATTTAATAAACCTTTAAGAATTTGGTATAAGTAGTCTGAAGTATCATTTTGTCTTAATTTGTAGAGAAGGCCTTCATGCCATATTTTGTCGAAACCTTTGGTTATGTCCAGGAATATTGCGATAGTGTGTTGTTTGTCATGGAATCCTTGCGCTATATATTCGGTTAACCGTAATATTTGATGTGTTGTGGAGTGGTTAGGTCGAAATCCAAATTGTATGTCTGGGATTACGTGTGTGTTTGTCAGTAATTTTACGTGTCTCTAATAGTTTCGACAATGAGGGGAGCAGGCTTATTGGTTTGCTGGATATTTTGGATTCTTTCCTGGTTTGCTGAAGGGTAGCACTGTTACAATTTTTAAATCGTTGGGAAAGTAACCTATTCTGAGTGCTGCGTTAAATATTGCTGTAATGTCTGCTATCAAATTCGCATTTATTTTCTCTAGAACTTTATTAGAAATAAAGTCGTATCCTGCTGATTACTTAGTTTTTGATTTTTTGATTTCTTGTTTAACTTTTGATAGGGATATATTTTTTGTATTAATTGGAGCTTTATATATTGGTTTCTGATTGAATTCCTTAATTTGTTGATTAATGTGATCGTTCTCGACTGGGTTTGGGTTGAACGACGTTTCAAGGTTGTCAGCTATAAGAGATGTTTTCTCAAAATCGGAATTTGCCACATCTGAACCTAATTTAATTAGTGGAAATTCTTGTTTTTGTCTTTTTATTTTCTGTATGGTTGACCACATATGCCTAGATAGTGAGTGAATTTCTTTTATAAAAGTCTGCACGCTTGCATGTCTATGTTGGGCTAGTTTTATTTTAACTAGTCTCGTCAGTTTGTTTAATTTTCTTTGTCTGGTCGACATGTCACGTACCAATAGCATCTTAAATTGTGTTAACTTTTAATTAGATTTCTAATTTTTATTGGAATTAGTTGCTTGTTTATTGGGTTTGTTCTTTTGAGATATGTGGTATAATTTGTGAGGGATTCTTGTATGTTGCTAACTAATCGTTCTATTTCATTGTCTAAGTCATTTACAAATTGAATGCTGTGAGGATATTTGTAGTTAGTTTTTAAATTTTTCCTGAATTAAACGAGTTAATTTGACCTTTTTACTGTTTATAAAAAGATAGAGAGGATTGAAAGATATGATAATTGGGTTGTGATCCGAATCAAGTTCAGGAATTACTTTTTGATATATCGGGAAATCAATATTTTTGTGATGATATTCAATACGTCCGGAATTATATTATTGTTGTAAGGATAATTAGTGGGTTCTATTGGGGCCAGAATACTTAAATTGAGGGTAGTTGCTAGATTTGGTAATTTTTTTCCTGGAGGGGTTATTGTGTTGCATCCCCAAGCGCTGTTTTTGCTATAAACGTTGCCAATTAACATATTATTATTTCCAAAAAGTATATATATTTTTAGGGAATAATTTATTAAGAAATTATGATTGTGTCTTTGTTATTTATTTTTGTGTTTATTGCTATTGTTTCTAGGTCATTGCTTGTAGGACTGATAATTAACATTTTTTCTATGTTTGTGCACTAATATGGCTACACCTTCTGCGGCGGTCTCTGAGAGACGGTCGTTACGATATATATTGGTATTGAAAACTTGATTTGTGGTAGAAGATGAGTTTCTGAAATACATGCTAACTTTATGTTTTTCTTGTTAAAGAATCGTAATTGACTTTCTTGCCTTTTTATTCTGTTCGCGTTCCAGTTGAGACTATTTGTTTCTGGATATTTATTTACGTCCATTATCGAAGGGGTGATTATATAAATATATGTATTTGTGGAATGAGTGCATTTATTACTTGGTTAATGACTGTAGTTATTAACTGCCCTTGGTGTGAAGGGAGATTCGAGTTCATTTGCGAGGGAACTTGGTAATTAAGTCTTTGAGGATTTCAAAACCACGGATTTCTGGGAGGTCATAGCGTTGGGTTTGTCTGTTGCAGATAATTTTGAGGGACTTGTTTTCGGTCAATGTTTTTGTCTCCTGGAATTCTCTAGTATTAACCTTTCGAACCTGTTTCCCGTAGGGATAGCGTAACGTGAAACAGAATCAGTTTTTTTTGCCTTTTGGGCTCATTTTTTTTCTGTTGGCGCAGGTGCACAAGTTACAAGGACGGCCAACTAGAGCATTGGCAGTCTTGTACTTGCGTTTGAAGATTCTGTAGTTGTTGTTGCAACTGTATCAGTTGTTAGTGCTGTTCCTGAAGTTGATGCTGCTGCGCCTGTATTTACTGATATTGCTGATCTATGATGAGTTGTTGTTCTACCTCCATGACGTCGGGCGTAGTGAGGTTCACGGCCTGCATCGCTTCTTTGGTACTCTGTCCGAGATCAGAGCAATATAAATCACTTTTATTTATATTCACTACTGGTTAAAAAGATGAAATTACTTTCGAAAACACTGTGGTCACTTCACGAGCACTCGCCACTCTCTGAGTGCTCAGCTCGACTCCGACTGAACTAACAAGGTAGCGCTGCAGTCACAGCCTCTCGCTACAGCTGTTAGCTCTGAACTGTGACAATAGTTTCTGATGAGTATCTGTTTCTATTATGCACTATACTGAGCATCAAAAAGGAAAATAATATTGATTTTAATTGTGTTATTTAATACTAGCGTACCCATTCGAGACCTCTCGCACGTTAATACCCACGATTTCCCTATCCTTACTGTTAAGAAGAAAAGTTGTTAATGAAATGTGCTGATTTGTTTAAATAATGTATACATGATCGTACTTACAAAATATCAAACAAAAATAAAAACAATGCAATTGACTTTGGAAACAAATTTTCAATAAACGTTTCAATATTCCTTGACAGTTAGCTGTCCGCTATCCTTGAGAGTAACGAGAATAATAGAAAAGATTTTTACTCTTCAGAACGTGAACTTTTCCATCCGAAAACACAGGATCGGGTAAATACAACCCCACTTTTTGCAATATTATTTAACTTTCCCTGATCTGTTGTGAGGAACAGAGGGAGTTTTGGAGAAGCAGGGCGCCAGCTTGCTGGAGAGCGAAAACTGAAACATTAATTGTATACTACAAAGTTTGGATTATTTGCTCCGTCTTAAGAACCTCAAAAAAAGCAATTCTTAGCTAAATAATAATAAAATTAATATTTTCATCTTTGGGTAATAAATGCATTTGTTACTATTCGAAACAATTCAGTAGGCTTAGATGTCACTTTGGCACATGGAAATGTTGCTCAAACGATGTTTACGTATTTAATATCTTAGCGAACCGACAACTTCTAAAAGTTTAATATCAAACGGTGTATTATATACAATATGAGTTTACAGTTGGCATTGATGTATAGACTTCTAGATATCCCCAACATTTAATTCGGGCGTCTGGATTGTGATCGTTAGTAGTTGTCGAGTGACTTGCGCTATTCTTTCTAAAACTTTAAATTCGCTTGCTTTTTTAAATTCATTCACCTAGTATTGTATCCATTCTCTTTCATTAGGGACCTCATTTGTAAAGATCGGTTGCGTGTGAAACCTGAAAGAGGTATGTATACTACTGAAATAATATAAGAGACAATATGAGTTTCAACCTGGCCTGCATAATAATGAAGATTATTTATGCCTGTAAAAAATGTAACAAGTATTGTACATCAGCATCTATGTCAATCTTCTTCCATCTTTACCATGTTTTTCGTCCAGTTTCCTGATTCATTGAGCACGTTTTGAGATGGTCGCTTGTTTACCTCTGGAGAAACGTGTAAGTATGGCTTCACCGTCGGCGCACGTTTTCTTGAGCTCAGTGGGGGGAATGTCGTTCTCCATGTTCTCACAGCAGTGAGTCGATTCCTTCACGAAGGTCATTAAAAAGGTTTAAAGGCCAAATCTGTGGCTGATTTGCCTTTGTAAATAGTTTTTATTACGTGGAACCGAATATTTTCTCACTAATTTTTGCCAAAAACGTCGTTGCTTCCAGTATTCTTAATTCAACTTTTTATTAAGTATATTAGGGCGAAGATCTCAGGGCTCAAGAAACCGTGTATAGAGATGGACTTTTCCCCAACTGTTTTTTATAATAAAAAATAAATGTTCATTAAGAACTCTGAAATTTGGAAACTTGGAAAAGTTCAAGATTTTCTGTATCTGTAGTACTTTTCAATTGTAAAATTTGTTTTTTTATAATGCAATTTATTTCGTAATGTAAAATATTTCAGTTATTTCATATAAACATTTTCTAAATGAAACGTGTTAGTAGTTTTCACGTAATTTTGAGTTATATCACTTGCATTTTCGAGTGAAGATTATGGTATTAGTATGATAAAAATTTCAATGTAATAATACTGCGTTGCCAAAAATACGAAAGGATATTTGCCGTTACAGCCCCCAGTATAAACAACAGACGTCCAAAGCTGCTTACCGGCCTAGGTGAGCCAGAGATTAACTGATACCTCTGCAGCGCCTCCGATCGGATGGTCTACAGGCTCGAGTTTCAAAGGGGTCAGGATTTTTTAGCGAGATTGACTTCAGCCACTGTCTGGAGGAAAAGTCGAGTTGCTGACTGCTCTGATCACAAGATGTCCCTGGTTTCACCGATCAACACCAGGCCACTCCTGAAGCAAAACCTTAACAAACGGACCATGGATCTCAGGCGATCTGTGCTTCTTCTTCCTTGTCCTATCCTCATCTCTTACTCACACACACACTTACATGCACTGCTTTACCATACACGTCGGAAGACATCTCGTGTTAGAGCTTGCCCTTTCTGGGTTGGTGCCCTACTGCCGGGAGATACTTGGCTGGGAGCATCTCGCTAGCCTATGTGTCTCCCTCCTGCGAGGGGAAATATCCCCGCCATCTCTCGTGTAAAAACATTCATTACACATACGGAAGTAATGGCCGTAGTAGTTGTCGCGCTCAGAAAGCCAAAGTAATCGATGAGTGGAAGCCGCCTGGGAGCCGCGGCGTCGTTCGTCTCGCCGGGCGGGGAGCTACTCGCGCGATGCGCCGTCTCTGTCTGGCGCGCGTATCGATCCGGCCCGCCCCTTTCGCTGCAGCGCCCCTCCCCCGCGGCGCAGGGCGCAGGGCGCAGGGCGGCAGCGCGCCCTCGCACACGGCAGCGGGCGCCCGCGCCGCTCACACCCGCCGCCATCTTCCACCTCCGCTGCCCGCCCGCCCGGGTTGCCCAATCAGCCGAGGGCCGCCGCGCGGGCACGTGCGCGTCGCTTGCGAGACGTCCCGCGCTCCCGCCATGCTCTTCTCTGGAGATTCCTGGTTAAGGGCTTGTCGAAGACGTCCTTGGCAGGAGACAGCTTCGCGTTTCCCGATAAGGAATGACTGCGAGCGAAAGAGTTGCGGGAACCTCCTGCCGGCGGGCGACCCGAAGGGGTACGAGGGCTTTTAGTGAAGCGCGTGGACTGCGTCGGTTGTGAAAGGTGATATAGTTCGGGAATGCGATAGCCACGTAATTCGGCGGTAGTGGTTTTTTTTGGAGTGTTAGTTGTGGGAAGGCGCGTATGACCACCCGGCGATCGCGGCTGGTAGACTCACTTCGTGATGCTTGATCAGGTAAGGAGAGAAGAAATGCGCATCGAACGAATGCTGCATGATCGTTGTTTGTTCCCAGTAGATTGTTAGACCTGAAGTGAGCTTTCCTCGTGTGTTTCTCCAAATCATATGAACTTTATTTGAATGACTCGTAGTGTAGTCACTGTTTGGTACGTTCCAGATCTAGTGTATGCTTCAGGAATTAAGTACAGAGATTACCGTTCGGATGTTGAGTTTACTTTAAGTATTTTACCAAGCGCATTCCGCTCTTACTTATTACCTCTTTCCGAGCATATTACGTAATACTACTGCAATAATGTTTGAATTTGTCTAGTGCATGACTACTCATGGAGTCATCTAGCGGAATATATCAACTTAGGCGAACTTTCTTGTGCTGCTACCTGTAGAGATTATTTGAAATTAAGTCGAGGTGAACTGTCGAAAACATAGCTGAAATTTACTGAGAAACTTAAGGCCTCCTTACAGATAGTCAGACAGTTCCTCCTTCTCGATAAAGTAGAAAGGATTGAACTTTTCTATACCTACGTATGCATGGTCTTATCAATCCTAATTAGATCTAATCGTAAAATAAGAAATATAGTCCGAAACATTCCTAATAAAAACACTTACAAACATTTAATGTGGTACATGTTACGAGCTAGAGAAATTCGAAGTATTACCACAAAAGTAAATTCGTCTATTTCAAATTTTAGCTCCTAGTACAATACTAGGTATACTCATAAATTTTAGTAGTGCTGCAATCCAACCATTATTAAATGCAAATACGTTTTCAAAACAAAAGTAATCTTGGATTGACTTATAAGCTTTCAACGGGTTTATCTGCAATCTTTACTTTATTTCCACATCATGTACATTTAGTAATACCCGAACGAATTACCTACTCCATGCAGATGCTGAAACATTCAGACTGGACCGCACATACGGTCACAAAATCAATAGGCCTACGCCAGCAATTGCTGAGTTTGTCACGCACCATGTCTATCAATTTGTTTTCATTTCTAGTATAAATCCGTAATGAAGGTTAATATTTATAAGAATTTTCATTAGACAGGTTGAATATTCAAGTAAAATACAACTCGCATTTGATAAATTAAAAATGCCGCCACATAATGACATCTTTCAGATAAAATAGATAACCCAGCTCGGTTAATTAAAATTTAGACAACAAACACTTTTATGACGTTTTATCAATAATTTAAAAGTTTTATATCAAACTTCGCCTCATAAAAATATTGAAGCTTACCATTTACAATAATAATTAGTATTTTATATAAGCAATGTACCTCTTTGGCAATTCACTTAAAAGTTTCCTTGTTAAACGATTGATTCACAAAGGAAGATTGTGGTAAATTTTTGAAAGAACACAGCATATTAAACTACAGTATCTTCTTTTAAATTCTAGTCCCCAGAGATACGCTTTAACTCGAAATCGATGCCCCTGTGGAAAGGAAAGGACCGGCGCGGCTTCCCTTGGTCCTGAGGGAAAAGCTCCTTTCCGGACCCATGAGACTTCATTGACCTGGAAACTCGCGTCGCTGAAGACACTGCAGAGATCCGCATGGCTCCAAATGAAATGGACTACTGCAACACACACACAAACCCACACACACACACACACACACATTCATACATGCAAGTACATATGCGTGCGCGGTTATATTTTTACAACTCAACCTTACGTGCTCTTGTACTCCCATAACAGATCATACAATTATTACAGTTTAATTGGAAATATTATATAATGTATTTTCACTACAAAAATGACATATCGGAGTTACACAAGATCCAACCAGCTTCTTCACAGGTATCTTGATATACAAAATACTAATTAGACTGATGCAAACAATCCACATTTTAAAAATAGTTGCTAATTAATTGTAAATATTTCCATACCGGAACACAACTTCATATGGTCTGCGCTTCAACTGCTTTCTACCGCTTCGATGCCTGGTACTGAGCATGGGTAACCAGACTAATATTGCTAAGCGTTAATTAAAAATTGAAATAACCAATTCTTATAATTAAATTGCACATAAAATCAAATAATCAATTTAATTTAACATAATATCAATATTTTGAACGTTTCGTCCCATACAAATAAGGAAGTGGGAGTTTTTAGAAGATCGTAACATCAAAACACCACATATTCCCACGCATGCTTTACGCATGTTCACCTCATGTTCCCCACATTTTTCTTACAATTTTCTCTACATATTCCCATTAAATTCCCTTGCATATTCCTCAAGTTTCGCGAATATTCTTCCATATATTCCTTGCATATTACTCCTTACGCGAAACGGTAAATTCAAAGTGTTTTAAGTATTTTTTTAACATAACCCTTCCCTAAACCTTACGATGACGAACAAAGCATTGACGAACAAATCTTGACGTAGAAAACTAACTATTCCAAATGGCAAGAAAACTCGTAAGAGCTCATCTCTCAATAAGAAATTAAATTAAAAAATGTAGAATTAACCTCAAAATACAAAAATTTACCTGCAAGTACGTTAAAAAATACTTTCGAACGAATATATGAGAATGACTTTCTGCAGCAAACTTTCTGTTAAATAAAGTCTGCTGAATCGAAATACTAAATGTGTGTTAGAATGTTTTTACTATTTAAATTTTAATATTTTCGTTTTTATATTTTTTAATATTTAAAGAATAATAAATGATAAATTAATACATTTCCCGTTCAGCACCTATCACTTCCAATAAACGGTCACTAATATGCGGTTTCCTTCATACAGGACAAGAACAATTCTCAGTTCTTAGTGAAATTCTCACAGATATTTTGGTTGGTTCTGGCTATTGCTCTAATGTTTACATAGAAGCGTTTTTAAAGTGTAAAAGGAATTTACCTGGCATTCACTTTTTTCTGTGAAAGCGGTAGCAAACACGCAGATTATTTACCGATTTTATGTAGACTATAATTATAATCTGAAAACATGTATAACTTCCGAAAGTCAACTTTTCGATTTTCAAAAAACAAATTTCAAACTTAAGAACACTACATAAAAACGAAATTCACATTAAAAACATCTCAAACTTGCAGCAAGAGTTCATGCGTTAATATGATTTTTTAATTTTATTTCAAACATATTAACTTAGCTTCTCGTGCGTATTTGGAGATTTTGAAGGCGATAAAACGAAAAGTTGAAGACATCAGATGTACACTGTGGTTTATTTGTTTTGTTTCTAACCGATACTTTATATTTTATAATCAAAAGTAATTTATATATCAAATATTGGAACTGTAACAATATTTGAGGTCGCTAATAATTCAACACACTTGATCTGATCAAAAATAAATATATTTATTGTTGTTGTCATTATTATTATTATTATTATTATTATTATTATTATTATTATTATTATTATTATTGTACGAAAAATGCTGATTGATGCAAGTGGAATTTACAAATAATGAATTTGGTGGTTAAAATCTCAGTAACACTTCGTTTTAAAATTATTATACATGCCAATTATTTGTTTTTTATTTCCATAATAACGTTAATAACTATAAAGACAATTAATTCACCTATCAAAATATTCAATGGGAAAATTATGGAGCTTTAAATAATTCAAAAGTAAAAAATAAAATAAGGTAGCCTTTTCGTATTTTCTTGGTAATTACATCTAACGAACAAAATTAAAAAGTATCTTGAAAATAGTCATGAGTTAGCAATGTCCACTTTACAGGCAAGTAGGATACGCTTATTCCTTCGTTGTGAAGTCGTCGCAGTCGATTTTCCAATTGTGAATCGACTCGTCAGTTGCTAGGGCAACTGACACCAACGCAACGCAATTCCACAAGGGCACAAAAGTTTATAACAGCTCTCCAAAGCAAAAATTCTGTGCATTTTTCAATGCTTTTCGGGCTAACGGAGAATGAATTTAAGGGATCTCAAAGAGTTCATTCACTTCTGAAACAAAAAATGAAAATAAATTAAAATATTAACATTGTTCTCAATGGTGCAAGACATTTCCCACAACCTGCCTTGATTAATTTATGATTTGGAAAAACCTACGACAGCTAACAAAAAAATAAAGGAGAGTAACATGCAACATATTAAGAAAAATTCAATTGATATGAGCAGTTTCTGCAAGTATTTATTTTCTATCAATGTTTAATTTAGAAATTATATTTTCAACTTTTTTTAGTAAATATTTTTTTTAACTTAAGAGTTCTTTTTTTAAAAAAAATATTTACATCCGATTAATAGATGTTATATCCTATTAAATTGTAACATTTTTGTGGATATTTTTACAAAAATACTTAATTTTTTAGTGGTAAACGTTACATTCTGTTGTTGTTTATTCAAATCATCTTTTTCGTATGTTACGTCTGAGCTATCTTTTAAATGTTTTTATCATTTATGTGATTGGCATTTTGGATAAATTGTCCGACTTTGCCCTGTAGTTCCCTCATACCTAGTTTAATTCCCACGCTGTCTAGCAAAATTCCCACACTGGGAGGTTAGAGAGATGTGTGGTCAAGACGATGTATTCCCTTCACCATAACTAGCAAGCTCCACCTGCCTGAGCTTCTCTTCGTCACACAACTACAGAAATTAAGTGGATTTTAAAGGAAGGCAAGAAGTCTATTTGCTCCAACCGGTATCGCATCAAGGGAAGCTAGTATGCAGCCCATGAGCCACTTTACAGCATTTTTTAAATCCAATATATAATTTATTTGATTTTATAATAATGATGGTCATTATAAAGATTAATTTTCGTCTATCTCACTATACTCAATATATTTAAATTTTAAAAATACGAAGCAAAACGAACTCTCAAGACGACAAATCAATACTGTACCATCGAGCGCTTAAGAGTTTTTTAAAAGTATTGTTGAGATTATTTTTCACACTAATATTCCACATTGATAAGAAATATGTATTGCCTACCTATTTAAACGGAGTCTTTTTCAACAATTATTCAACAATATTTAATAAAAATCTGTTATTAGAAATAATGTTCATTACTACAAAATGTAT